GCAGAGAGAGTACTGATCTCAAATGCCCTACGCTACTTTCTTACCACTTCTCTCCTTCTGGAAATAAATTAGAAATAATTCCTCAACAAGTTGTTTATAATTTTTTTAAAATTATTTTGTGTCATTAGTCAAATGTATATTTCTATGCATATTCGATTGATTAGGCAATTATTTAAAGAGGGCTTTAACCTTTCTCTAAGTGCCAATAATTAACAAGTAACTTGGAGATGTGGAATTTTTTTGATCATGGAAGATAGGCTTTACTAGTTCCTTTCTTACTAGTGTCTTTTTTTATATATATATTTGTTTATCATGGTTAACTGTGAGTACTATAATTTGGTTCATTTGTTCAAGCCTTTACTAAACAAGAATACTTTCAAATCCAACTTTTTTTTGTTTGTTCTGGGCTTCTGGCTGATTAATCCTAACAATATTGTCATTATTAAAAATGATCACGCTTTTTTTCTCCGGTCAGCAAGACACTCTGCAAATGCATAAATAATGTAGTTTGAATTTCTTTAAGGCAATATTCATCTGTGTAGTCAAAACTTTGACGTTTGTGACAATAATAGCCACTTTTGGGGGAATACCAATAATAGCCAGAATTTTGAAAGTTTGATGACAACAATAGCCATTTCCGTCCAAAACTTTAACGGTATTACAAAATTCCGTCTGTTAGGTTAACGATATGCTGATGAGGATGCCAAATCATTGCCACGTCAGCAACAACTCAGTCTTAATTGCCACGTAGATGCCATGTCACAATCTACTTCAAAATATATTTTTTATTTAGAAAAAAATTAATTATTTTATTTTAATATTTATCTATCTCTTTCCTCCTTGCCTTCTTCATCTGTTGCCTTCTCCCTCTTCACAAGCCAACCATCGTCGATCTTCTTCATGAAACTTCTCCCTCGATTCCCCCACAGGCCCGCCCCACCCATCCCGCCGTCGCTCCAGGCCATCTCTTCAATCGCTCCAGTCGACTGGTCGGACTTCTATGGGAGTCTGGGTTTCACCTCAACCCTAGAATTTGGGGAAAGAGGGTCATTGACGAATTCGACAGCGGCAACTAGGCAAACGACGAGACTCATGACGATTGGGGGCAGCCAGGCAGGGTCGTAGCGGACGGGAGTAATGGCGGCGACTTCTTCCAATACGACGGCGGCGGGATCCAGAGATGAAGGGAGGCGGTGGCGGTTTAATCTTTCTTCCATGTTTCACTCGACCAAGAAAGATTGGGGGCAAGGTCGTAGCGGACGAGAGCGGACGGGAGCTACGACGATCCAAGCAGTGGTCGGAAGGGTGTGGGAGTTTCAAAAAAGCCCCTTCCTCCTGCCTGGTTCGTCTCCCAAATCTCCCAAAAAACCTCACGACCTTCTTCGTCTCTCTCTCAGATCACTCTTTCCCTTCTGTCGATCCGAATCTCGATTCCATATTCACTGGGCCTTCGCCATAGCTCGCTTGCCTGGAAACCCTTGTTCACTTTGCTTCAATGGCCTCCGCGCCTGCTGCGAATCTGAATCAACCCGACGCCAACGGAGTAGGCGGCGGAGGATTAGGTAGTGGAGGCAGTTGTTTCTGTCGCCGGAGGAGGAGCCCTTTGCCAATTGGTGTTGTGAGGTTCCTATTTTGAGTTGTTGTGGGTTGTTCCAGAGTGCGGCTGCTGCGTACGCGGTCCTCGGAGCAAAAGGCGAAAGATGAGGCGGAGGGGAAGGAGGAGGCAGTGGAGGAGCGGAATCGGAAGATACGGCAGCGGTTCTAGTGGTGTTTGAGATGTAGATTAGAGAAGTTTTTTGTTTTATTTATTTATTTGTTTTTATTTTTCATAAATCAAATGACCAAGCAATTTGAAATTTTTTAAATTTTCATTATTGTTATTTTATTTAATTTTTTAATTAAAGCCACGTGGGAATACGCACAGGACAAAAATCGCCAGATCAGACAATTCGTTAGTCCAGTCAGCACGTTAATTAACACCGTCAAACAATTGGACGGAAGTGGCTATTTTCGATATTTCGCCAAATGTGGCTATATTTGGCCAAATCGTCAAAGTTTTGACTATACAAGTGTATTTGCCCATTTAATGAAATATATTTGAACAAGAATGTGTGACCATGTATGAATAAGCAAATCTATTCTAATTTCTGTTTTAGTACTGCATGTTGCCACTCTAAAAATTCTTTGAAGAGGATCTATAATTATAATTCCATCTAAATTAGTTTATTCGAGATAGATGTGAACACATAGCCCATAGGTGCTGCCTTGACCATCCTTATTTTTTAGCAAAATATATCTATATGGTGTCTCTTAGTACGCTGAAGAGACAAATAGTTAGTAAATCTAACGAATTTACTAGTATATCCATAAAAAATGATCACTTAAAAAAAAATCTTAACATTTATTTATTATATCTTTCGATCTTCCTACAAATAATTAATTAACAAGATGATTATGTTTACTTCCGGACGGCAAAAGCTACTACTACTGGTAGTGGTAAGAGTAGGATTACTGATTATAATAAAAATTTCACTATCATAAAAAAAAAAGTAGTATTACTGAACCTAGGGGTGGTAAACGGTAATCCGGTAAACGGTTTACCGTTTTACCGAACCGGTAACCGGCGGTAAACGGTAAACCGTTTACCGCCGGTATCGGTAGTCGAACGGGAAGTTGGGGGAGTCGGTTTACCGGACACGGTATCGGTAAATACCGACGGTAAATCGGTAATACCGATACCGAAATACCCCCTCCCTACTCCACTAACATATAACCTATACATCATTATTCACAAATATAAAATATTACATACATGAATGTAAGTAAGTATAGGCCTCAAAAATATTGTAAATAAGAGTTAATAATAAATTATTAATTACAAAAATGATGAAAAAAACTCAAAAAAATCAAAATATTACAACATCACCCCACTTCCAGAAATTCGGTTCGGTAAACCGACCAAAAAACCGCCCGAAATCGCTTCTCACGGTATTTCGGTAATACCGGTTTGTAACCGTTTACCGGTAATTCGGTAATCGGTAAACCGTTTACATACCGGTATCGATAATCGGTAACCAATTTGACCAACTTCGATATACCGAAACCGGTAAATTCGGTAAACAATTTACCGTTTACCGACCGAATCCCACCCAACCTGATGATGTTTAGTTTTGGTTTGGCCATCTAGAATATAATGCAATGACAAAGTGATTATATAGTCAAAGGAAGGAAATTCAATTCAATGAAAACCATTTTTCCTGATTTGGATGAACATCAAATATTAATGACGACAAGTACGTTATTCATGGTCGTTTCCATTTTCACTATGGTTGGTCCTTTCAATTTTTCAACGGTTTCTAGAAAATATGGGTGTGGCCGGAGTACACTTTGTTTTGCTAGAAGTTAATTAGTAAGTATAGAAAGTGAAGCAACGAAGTGGGATAGATGACAATTAGGTTAGTGTTTGGGTATTGTTCAAATTTATTTTCAGTGTTAATCAACCTCCCCTTGTACTTTCTAAATTCTGAAATCCATGGCGCCATGATTATTAAGCTCGCTTTATTTGAAAGCCAGAAAACACAGCTTTGGTAATTGTTAGGCTAATTAATTATCAACCAACCTTGATCGCATGTGACGAGCAAATGTTTGTCCACACAATTAAATTAGTTGACTTACAAACCCAGCTGATAACACGGCAAATAAGCTTAAGCCATGTTACGCGAACCGATTAATTAATTATATTAGTAAACTACAAAGTACATATATAAAAACATAAAGAAAGCCAAACTCAAACAAATTAAAGAAGCTAAAGTGAAATCTAAGTTGCCCTTAATTAACAATACAATGCAAAATAATTGAAACTTACAACGATCGACCGCGTTGAATTTACTTATTTATATTTATTAGAATCTGCATATCAAACCGTGTCAGTTTGAGTTGGTTTTTGGGAAGAAGAAAAAAGCGTGTTGATGAGGGAGGGAGAGAGTAATATTGATATGGCATTGACATAATGAAGAATAGAAAAACAATTAGATTGTAGTTTAAACTTTAAATGCACTTGATCATCAGAATCAGAGAGTTCATTATATATAGTGATTCTCAAGTTAATTAATTAATTGAACAACTGATCGACTAAGTTATAATATTGAGTTGGGAAGTGGATTCATACGTGGCTGGCCATGCCATGTGCCTTTCCTTTTGGGCGACTTATTGGCAAAGCAGAGAACTGAATAAGGAAGGCAAAGGAACTTGCTGAATAAAAACAAATAGTTATTAGAACAAGTTATTTGCAAAGACAAGTTACTGTACGCTTAGACACGAAATTCTTGTTCATTTAGACTCAAAATTACTGTTCACCCTCCTCCCATTGGTGCATCCTCTGCGATTGGGACCAGCCGCCTTTGCTGATTGGTTGGTTTCCTACGTCTGGGTCCCTCCGTTGTTGCTGTGTGTGCCGCGTTGCCCTCAGCTGCACGCTCATTTTCCCTTCGCTTTCTATTTCCTTCGAGCATTCTCGCTGATAATTATACCTTCTTATAATGATTACACCGGTCATTTTGTACGTCTTTCATTGCTTTTCTCTCTTGCCGTGTATATTTGTTCTTGCTTTTCTGAATTTCGGCCAATGATGGCGCTTCTTCTTTCTGCGCAGCCTCATGCATTTGGGCCTCGGAGAGGGCGTTCCTCTTTGCGTTTGGTCTGGTGTCTAACACCCGCCGCTTCGGCGCCTCAAAATTCTCCGCTTCTTTTTATACTTCCTATCCCTGGCGGTTTCTTATTTCCCTCCGTGCTTATCTCTTTGCGGGGGTGCTATTTGCCCTATCTTACGTTTCCGCCCGTTATTGGACCATAAACTGACATGCACCGCCCTTGAAACTACTTTTCCTGTCCCTCTTTTTTATACTCTTCTGTGGCGCCGAAACTTCTTTTCTGTCGTTCTGGTATGTTTCTAAAAAAAAAAAAAGTTCCCACCCTCTTCGGTTCTCCCCATCTCCCAGAACATGGAATTCACATTGCTTTGTAACCTCGGAGGTCCGCGCAATGCCGGGATTTCTTTGCGCCTCCGCTTGCTGCATGTGTGGCCGTCGAAGTCTCCGGGGGACAATAGGATCTACAATTACTACACTTTTTGGACCGACGAAACGGTTAGTTTCTTACCCTTCTCGCTTTCTCTTCTGTGCTCTGGTTTGTTCTCGCCTCTTTTCTTTGTTCACGAGCTGGAATGGCGTGGTCTGCGCAGGGTATGCTAATTCAGGGCGTTTCGCCAACTTCAATGGCTGCTGGGATTCGCCGTAATCTCTCGGTTGGGATGATATACGTCATAAAGTCCTTTGCCCTGAGCAATCCGCCGAATCAGTATCGGTCGTGTTCTTTTGATTTGGCTTTGGGCCTTTCGCCTTCGATTTCTTTCCTGCCCTGTGCTCTTCCTGCTGAGAGTTTCCCGGTTGATGCTTACGAGTTTGTGGTTTTCTCCCAGTTAAGTATTCGTGCCGGTAATCATCGTTACTTGACAGGTCGGTGGGTTTGTTTTCTCGGGTTAGGTTTGCTTATATGTCTTTTGTTTGTTTGCTAAGATTTTGTCGCTACGTGTCTTTCTTCGTAGATGTTGTTGGCAGACTCCATTCGATCAGTGGGATATCCCACAAGATCACAAATAACGGCCCCGCTGTCAAGCAGACAGTTATTATTGAGGATGAAAGGTATTACGCGTTTTTCTTGGGTTTCTGAGTTTGGTTGTATGTGTCGTGTTTGTTTTTTTGCTTTTCTTACGTGTCCCTATATTCTTCCTCAGTGGATCGAAGGTCTCGATTACGCTCTGGGATGAGTTCTTGGCGGTGTTGGATCATGTTGCTCTCACTCAGGCTGACTCGATTGAAGCTGTCATATTGGCATTTGGCGGCTTGCTGGTTAATAAGTTGGGGGTATGTTGTGGTTTCCTTATTGCATGCACCTTTTCTCGAGATTATGTGGTGCTCATTAGCGTGCTTGGTTTTTCCCTCTCTTCTGTCTCTTTTGTGCTTCTTTTTAGATGATTATGTCCTGTCCAGTTCGGTCGCTACTCGCATAGCAGTCAACCCGCCAGTACCTAAGGCTTATTATCTTGCATCTAGGTAAGCTAATTGCGGGCTGTGTCCGCTTTTGTGTGTCGTGTTCGTGTAATATGTTGTGTGTTAAGAACTCTATGTTGTTGTATTCATGGTGCTTGGATCTCTACCAGGTTTGCTGAGAAACATGAGACTGTTGCGTCCCTCCCAGTTGAGTTTGCTACTGCTGCTGATGCTACAGCTGATGCAGATCGTCGCACCAAGACTTTGGGGCAGTTGATGGCCTTATCTAGGACGAATTCCTCACTGGTTTTGCTTATTCCTCTCAAAAAAGTTGGATGCTTTTGTTTTTGTCCCGTGTTTGCAAGTGACGTGCTTTCTTTTCTTTTGTAGGAAGAAAAGTATCGCTTTGGTGGAGTGATTGTTGATGTCGAGTCAAGCACACCTTGGTATTATATTTCATGCAAGTTATGTTCAAGGGCTGTTTTGAAACATCGTGATGATTCGTTTCAGCTGGATGAGAAACAGACCCGGGTCAAGTATGATTGCATATCTGTGTTTTTTTGTGTCTTTGTTGTCTGTTATGAGTTTTGCTGCTTATGTTCTTTATTTCTTCAGCTACAAGCTCTTGCTTACACTGAGGGACGACTCTTGCGAAGCTCGCTTTATACTGATGGGGGGGTGTGCGCTTGCGCTGGTCAACGTTTCTGCTGCACACCTAGCCCAGAGGTTTCCCCATCGTCCTGGTCAGCTGCCCCCACAGTTGCATCAATTGCGAGGGCAATATGTCAAGTTTGACTGTAGGTTGCCGTTCTCGGGCCCTACTGGTTTCTCTTCGGGTGAATTCTGTGTTACCCAGGTCGTCCCTCTTGATGATCCTACGGTGGTGGGTGATTTGCTTGAGTTTTCTTTGCCACAGTCGTCGGCTTCTCCCTCTCTGGGTGCAGCAAGTAGCGTGGGAGGCCCATCAGGTTCATCGAGGTTCGTGTTATTAGCTATGTTTCCTGTATGACTTGCGTTGGTTTATCTGTCATGATTAAAGTGAGTACTTTTTGTAATATGTTTTCAAGGGCAGCGAAGGGAAAGGAAAAGGTTTCAGATTCAATCCCTATTGAAGCACCAGCTGTGCCATTTAACATCGCTGACCAGCAAGATGTAATTGAGAGGTGATCATGGTTTTCATAAAGCTTATTTTGCTTATTTGTGATGTTGTTTAGGGATGTTGTCTGAATTGGTTATTATGGTTTGCAGATTTCCTAGCCCTGCGCCCAAGATTTTGCGGGATCCTATTCCTGTAAATGTCGGAGGCGAGGATATTGATGATGAGTCGCGGATTCTCGGATATTCCCAGCTTTCAGTGATGGGTGTACAGGTGGGGTCCACCCTACCTGCTGCGACTGTGGCCGCGTCTTCTGCAGTCCAATCCAGCGCTCCATCTGTCTAGTTTGCTACTTCGATGGTCCCCAAGCGATCAGCCAAGAATGATGAGTCGGTGAGTTCTCAAGATGTTGGTCGTGATTCATCTATGCCTGCTTCAAAGATTCTGAAGCCTTCCCCCGAATCATCTCCTGGGAAGCCCTTGGGTTCAGCCACCGCCTTGCCTTCGGCATCGTTGTAAGTATTTCTATTGTACATTATCAGTTCTCCACTGTCTTATACATGTGTTGTTTCCCCGGTTCTAACAATTAGGAACTCTATTTGGTTGAAGGTTGGTCTCTCCACTCGCCAGGATAAAAGTGGAGAAATTGGATGCTGCCGATGTCGCTCAAGTCTCACATGGTGCTCCCTCGCAGGCAGGTGTTAATATGGAAAGGGATTCTTCAGTGGATAGTCAGAAGAATTCGTCGACAAAGCGTGCTTTTTTTAAGAAGTGATCATGGGTTGAAGGTTACTCCTCGGTCTTTCCGTAGCATCTTCGTTGCAAGTTAGTTTTTGTGCATTCAATGTTTCTCATCTTCCTATTTTGTTTGTCGCAGGAACTGATCTATGTTCGATGGTGTCCTTGGAGTCATATATGTTTTATATTAGAAGGAGATGTTGAACTTTGTTTTGCAAGTTGTTCTCTGTGTTTGAACGATCGTGGTTTTGCCCTTTTGGTTTCAAATATGTACTGGCTGTATCTATGTGGATGTTATCAGAGGATGTATTCCCTCTGTGCTTTTGCTTTATGTTATACTGTATAACTATTGCGTGGTTGCTCACTGCAATATTGCTGCCGTGTTGTATGATCTTACCGGGTGCTATATGTATAATGTTAGTTCTGCTTATTGTTGGGTGAATAGGCACTTTCAATTTTCAGCTTCGGTGAATGCCAATTCTTAGCGTTGTTGTGTTCCAGTTCTACTGAACTTTCGTTGATTCTTCCTCTTAAGACCCAACAAACCTATGTTTTATTAGAGGTTAACTTCTACAAATTTAGTTACCACGATCATCGGAGTATGTTCAACCTTATGTGAAACCACGGACATAAAAACGCACGCTTGAACATGTATAATTATCGAGTAGTTAGATAGGAATGTACTTTTTGATTCGTTAATATAGTTTATGCATTCCAATTGAGCTCACGCATTCCGAAAAGGAAAAACGCTCATGCAATCTGCGATGGGAATGTATGTTCTTAACATGGTGCGGCCTCTTTTTATACAAAGACCAAACTAAAATGATTGCTTTTCTTCAATTTAGTAATCAAGTATAAGGTTAGATATTTTGTGAGTTAGTAAGTAATATACTAATGCATGTCTCACATTCCCATAATAACACATTTTAATATAGATAGATACTTATGCATAGCTTTGATATCCATGATGGCACATTTTAATATAGGTTTTCTTACTCATTGGGGTTATGTTAACCTCTTCAGAAACATCTCTCCCCCCACTCTTATACTTCATCTCAGATTTGCTCATTTGTATCCTTTGCTTACCCAACGAATTTGGATACTCGTCTATACAACCATCACGTTCCTGATTGTCGAAGGTAGAGTGATTTCTCATTTATATTTGTTATCAATGAGTCTCTTAAGTATGTAAGAGCAGTCACTGTTATTCATTTTCATCACTTCCTCATTCGATATATCCGAATCCGTTTCTATTCGTTTGGATCCGATTAATGAATCATCTCGCTAGTAAATGGTGTTGATCTTTTCCCTTTTTTTTTCTTCGCTGTGCAGCAATGCCTCCGAGAATAAGAAAATCTCAATATCATACTTTGAGACGTAAGAGACCTAGAGTTGAACTTCCCAAGCAAACATCGGAGGATCTTACAACTTCTTTAGCTATGTTTGGGGATACAACTACCGAGACTCAGAACAACATATAGGGGTCATCGCAGAATCTTCATCAAGTTTCACCGTCAACAGCAGGTGATGAGTTCAATATTATGCTATATCTGCTGTTTGAAGTATGGAATACCCATGAACATATTATGCGTTCATAATTTCCGTCCGTATCGGGCGCTTATTGTCGCTTACTCTTATGTTTGCTGTGCATATATCATATTCATCACGGTTAAGGAAATCGTGCTATCAGACCATGAAACGATTAGGATCCAGAGATTTAACTCGACCCATTTTTTATCAGGAACAAGGGAGTCCTGATGTAGAGGCTGAATGTTACAATAACAGCGGTCGAGTAACAGAGGCTAACCGTCAAAAAACTGATCGTCCAAGTCGGCGGCGGTCAGATGAGGTTCTATCCTGTAGTAGGCATATTCCCACAGCTAGGAAGCCACTACACAATGATATTCTCAGAATAGGTCAGCCAGAATGTGTCTGTAAATACTGTGGTGCTTTGTTTTGGGATATGGAAAGACTCGACCGGCGTCGAGCAACAACTAATCCAATTTATGGATTATGTTGTCAAAAAGGTCGTGTTGGTTTGCCGCTTATAGCACAACCTCCACATTTGTTGGCTGAACTTCTGCGGTTTGATGGTGGCGCTATGTCGAAGCATTTCAGGGATAACATTAGACCGTACAATGGTTCATTGTGCTTCACATCATTTGGCGCTTCTATCGACCCTCGCTCTCTCTCTAGTAGGGGGCCCTATTCAATGGTCATATGTGGAGAAAATTATCATAGAATTGGTTCATTGCTGCCTCCTGATGGTGAAAAACCAAAGTTTGCTCAGCTCTATATTTTCGAACCTGAGAATGAAATTGACAACCGGTTGGCGAACTTTGCTTCCCGTGATGGTCTACTTATGCCAGAATTGCTCACTTTATTGCTTCAAATGTTAGATCAGCATAATGAACTTGTCAAAACATTCAGGCAGGTTCGGCAGCAGCTGCAAGATTCTGCAACAACAAGTTTAAAGCTTCGAATTTTTGGAGCTAAGAGCAGAAATCGACAGTATGACTTGCCCAACAACACTGAAATCGCGGCACTTATATCAGGCGATTTTATTCCGGACAGAGAGGATCGAGATATCATTGTTGATCACATATATGAGGGTTTGAAGAGAATTACAAGTCCCAATCCAAAATTTGATGCATTGCATTTCCCGCTCTTATTTCCATACGGAGAGGATGGTTATCATCCACTTATCAAGTACAGGTCAGCTTTCTGTCCTCCTTCTACGCGTCGACAGTTTGTTACTCAGCGTGAGTACTATGCATTTAGGCTCCAATATCGCATCAACGAAGGTCATACAATTGTTCAGGCTGGAAAAGCTCTTCAGCATTTTTGCATAGATGCCTATTCATCAATAAAGCTAAATAGGCTAGCTTTTTTACGCTACCATCAGCCACAGCTTAGAGCTGAGGTTATCAAGGCTTACAAGATGCAATGGCGCGAGGTGATCTTGATGGGGATAAAGTGGGTCATGTAGTGCTCCCTGGGACTTATATAGGCAGCCCACGATATATGCAATAATTATATCACGATGCAATGGCGGTGGTCGAATTCTATGGAAATCCAGATCTATTTATTACATTTACGTGTAATTCACTGTGGGAAGAAATAACTGAAGCTTTTCGTGACATTGTTGGCCCGAATTTTTCGGACAAACCAATGGTGGTTTCGAGGGTTTTCCACATAAAGCTGAGCATTCTCATCGACGACATTAAGAAAAACTCCTACTTTGGGAAGACAATCGCAAGTAAGAGCAGTATGATCATTTAATATAATTTGGGAAGTATTAGCGATTACTTACTTTTGAATGCACATATTTTGGATACTTCCCTTTCTAACAAGTTATGCTTTGCACCAGTAATGTATACAGTGGAGTTTCAAAAAAAAAAGGGTTGCCTCACATACACTTGCTGGTTTGGCTGGCTGAAGAGAATAAACTAAGGACAACAGATGATATTGATGAAGTCATCTCAGCCGAAGAAGATCCAGTTGGATATGTGGCTGTTTGCAAATATATGTTACATGGCCTATGTGGAGAAGCAAACACAAATGCACCGTGCATGCGAGACAATAAACGGCCCTCAAACGGAAGATGTTCGAAACAATTCCCAAAAGAGTTTAACTCGACAACGTCATTTGACAAATTCGGAAATGTCATCTACAGAAGATCTAACTCTGGCATAGAGGTTCAAAAGGGAAGTTCAGTCCTCGACAATCGACATGTTGTCCCACACAACAGAAATTTGTTAGTGAGAATGCAGGCTTATATCAATGTTGAGGTATGTCACAAAGGCAAACTTATTAAATATCTTTTCAAATATGTGACGAAAGGGTCGGACAGGTCATTAGTGATTGCTGAAAATCTAATGCACCCCAGAGCAATGCAGAAATGCAGCCTGTGAGACACAGAGATGAAATTCAACAATTCATTGACTGCCGATCGTTGTCATCTTATGAAGCTATATGGAGGCTGAATGAATATCCAATACATGTAAGAGAACCAACAGTAGTGCGCTTGGGAGTTCACTTGGACGACCAGGAAAAAATACCTTATAAGAAGCAGTCCAATGTTCGGAATATTTTGGGGAATCCATATGCCGGTAAGACGCATTTAACAGAATGGTTTGCGCTTAATCGTAGGGATCCCCAAGCAATAATTCTTACATATGCACAGACACCAAACAACTACACTTGGCTACCTGACTGTAAAGAGTGGATTCCTCGCAAAAAAGGATTTGCTATTGGCAGAATTGCATATGTTTCGCCAGGTTCTGGCGATGTTTTTTTCCTCCGAATGCTGCGCACGAAAGTTCGCGGCACTATCAGTTATGCTCATCTGAGAACTGTCAATGGAGAACTTTGTTCAGATTTTGAAAAAGCTTGTGGAAAATTGGCCCTTTTATCAGACTCTTCGGAGTGGATACGAGTGCTAAATGACATTTCATCTTCTAGCATGCCACGGGTGATTCGAAGCACTTTCGTGTCAATGCTTATATTTTGAGAAATCCCTAGCCCGATCACATTGTTCAATTCTTCTTGGAAGTCTATGTCTGAAGATTATGCATATAGTTCAGTCAAGAATCTCAGGGATCAAACTATGAGGCCTAGCTACGAACGATTACATAACTGGGTTCTACATCAACTACAGGCTATGTTGAGCTCACACTCAATGACTCTTGAGGACTTTAATCTTCCACTCCCATCCGATGGTCCATGCGATAATGGCGAGAACCCACTCATCAACGAGCATCTAGCTTTTGATACAAACCAGCAACATGTATTAGCCACCTCTATGTTGAAGTCTCTGAATATTGTGCAAACCAATGTATATTCTGCAGTCATCAACTCAGTGCACAACAAGATGGGTCGTGCTTTCTTTCTATATGGTCACGGAGGTACAGGCAAAACGTATCTCTATAATGTAATTACAGCAAAGCTTAGGAGTTGGGGGAAGATAGTTGTTCTGGTCGCATCATCGGGGATTGCAGCGACACTTCTTCCCAAAGCAACAACGGCACATTCAAG